CAGCCACAGCCTCCCTGGGCAACACTGCTAAGGGCTTTCACTGCCCTAGCTTGGGTCACTTTATCTTCTTAAATGGACAAGACCAGGGTGGAGGAATTCTGCCCTTCCACAGCCCCCTAACCTCAGCTGTGTCATTCTGATCCCTCCTGCATTTCCCTTTTGCCTGGTGTCAGGTACTTCTTGTTGCACAGTATAAGCTCCTCAACAGAGATTAGGTCTTTTGGGGTTTGGTTTTGTAGGGAGGAAAAAAAAAACCCATCCTGCACAAACATCTAAAGTTTCTGTGAGATATTAAACTCGAGGAGTTGCGTTATCCTGGCTGGTTGGTAGCAGCAAGGTTCACAGCCAGGTTGGATGAGCCTTGAGCAACCTGCTCTGGTGGGAGGCGTCCCTGCCCAGGGCAGGGGTTGGGGCTGGATGATCTCTGAGGTCCATTCCAGCTCCTAAAATTTTATGATTCAAACTGTTTTGCCATCAAATTTATTGAACACCCTTCCAGCAGCAAGAGAGGAAAGCGCAGTGAGTTCTGTGCGTTCTTGCCTGATGGAGAAGAGAAATATTACAGGGACCTGTAGTTAGTCATTATACAGCTCTTGTGCAAATCTCAGAGTGGTTTGTAAGGGCTGTGTGAGCAGGAGGTAGTTACGTAGTGCCCGTATTTCACGTGGGGCTAATCACAGTTGAGGAGGGTTTAGCTGCACGAGACATGTAGCATCGTCAGCAGAAGTAGAAATACTGAGTCATAGCCCTGAGCTCCTTGTGCTTTTCTCTGCGTTGTAGGTCTCGGGCACTTCAGTCCGTTTGGGTGTAAAAGCAGAGGTTGTGATGTACACACTTGTTTTGGTTGAACCCCAGCAGCAACCAAACCCACACAGTTGCTCACACACTGCCCCAGCAATGGGATGGGGGAGAGAATTGGAAGGTTAAGAGCTAGAAAAAATCCTGGGTTGAGATAAAGACAGTTTAATAGAGAAAGGAAAAGCTGCACGCACAAGCAAAGCAAAGCAAGGAATTAATTCCCTGCTCCCCATGGGCAGGAGGTGTTCAGCACCTCCAGGAGAGCAGGGACACATCACGTGGGATAGTTAGTTGGGAAGACAAACACCATCACTCCAGATGTCCCTCCTTCCTCCTTGTTCCTCCCACCTTAAATACTGTGCATGATGTCCTATGGTATGGAACATCCCTTTGGTCAGTTGGGGTCACCTGTAAATGATATTCACCATCAAATTCTTCCTAATAAAAGGTGTTTGGACTTGACCTTCTATATTTGTTCAAATGATTTTAGGGTCCTGCTCTTTTTACCTAGGCAAGCTTTTGTCAGAGAGGTGTGGGCAAGGTGCTTGGGAGTGTTGGATCAGCTCAGAGTTAGGAACACCAACGTGTTGGGTCGTGCTTTTGACTTGGCTCCAGGCACAGCAGCACTGTACAGAAATCCTCTGTTCCACCCTGCAGTCTGTGTCTCTGGTCAGCAGTGCCCAACTGTTCACCCTTCCCATGGCATGTGGGCCATTTTGGGAGCTTCTGATTTCAAAACTATTGAAGAACTCTTGATGCCAAAATCATTTCATGTCCTTTTCTAGTTCAGGAAGTTGCTCTGCAGCACTACTAGTAAATAGAACAATGTTATCTCACCTGTGTGGTCTCTCAGGAGCACTGGGGAGAAGTGAAGGTACAATACAAAACCTTTGTGTTTACCTTTCTTGTTGTTACTTGATTATTCCCAATACTTCAGTGATAACAGTAATAGAGCACTTTGTATGCAAAACCCTTGGGGTAGATTTGAAAATTTCTGGTGTTTGCTGCCGGGGTTATTTTTTGCCAGGCATTCTCCCGCATTGCTGGGAGTACCAGCTCACACCTGGGTCTGCCCCAGTCCTCTGCGTCCTGTGCTGTAGGGCAACTCTCAAACAGACTTACAGTTTTCATTTGCTTTTTTGTAAGTATTTCCCTTTCCTATGGCTTCTTGGTGTACCACCTGAATGCATTCACCTCTGTGAGTATTGACTGTTTGTCAGAGAGACTGTACTGAGAGCTTAGGGCACAAATTGAAGGAGGGAAATTGAGGTTAGATGTTAGGCAGAAGTTTTCCCTGTGAGGGTGGTGAGACCCTGGCCCAGGTTGCCCAGGGAGGCTGTGGCTGCCCCAAGCCTGGCAGTGTTCACAGCCAGGTTGGCTGAGCCTTGAGCAACCTGCTCTGGTGGGAGGTGTCCCTGCCCAGGGCAGGGCTTGGGGCTGGGTGAGCTCTTAAGGTCCATTCCAACCCCTGAAATTCTGTGATTCTGCGATTCTATTGCACATTATTGATCGTGTCCATTTAAAACAGACAGTGTGACCTGAAACACTTGCAGAGTTTGGTCGAGTTGGCTGAAGACCGTCCTTGTTCTGGGAGGGCAGCATTGCTGTCTGCAGGGAGCTCGTTGGAATTTTCGTGACGGGCTCCTTTGTGTGGAATTTGGGTTGTGCCCTGGTGGGGGGACAACGTCCAGGCTGGAAACTTGGAAAGCAAATCCCACTGTGTCTGCAGGGCCAGGCAGGTGTGTTTTGGTACAGACAGATGGAAACCTCTGGAGAACAAGGTTAACAAATACATTGTGGAAAGAGACTCTTGGGACTTCTCAAGTGAGAGATGTGTGGTCGATGGAGTATCACTACCTCCAAAGTAATACTGTGGCTCAGGAGGATTTCATCTCTCTGAGGGTACCTCAACTTGCACCTGGAACATGACTTTCTGCCATGCTAGATGTTCCTCAAAACAGGCTTTGTTTTATGAGTAATGATCAATTGCAATATTTGTTGATGCACTTTTTAGCCTTTTTGTCCACTTGTATGCTTGCCTCCAACACATGACTTGCATGCAGAGTTTTCTTTGTTCCTGGTTTGGTGCTTAAGCCCTTAGTGTGAGCCCCAACTAGCCCACAAACCTCTCCGGCAGCAGCTTTGCTTATGCTTGTGGCCTTAACCTTTCTGCAGGGGATTGTGCTGCTTGTTTACAAACTTCCAGTTTTTCAGTTACAAATAGAATATTATTAAGAGAGTCTTCTTTTTACCAATTAGGTCAAAGTCCTAAAATTTTAAGACCTAAACCACATGGTTTAGAGCGAACTGATTCACAAACCGTAGGTGACTTTACTACAAGAAGAAAGGGTATGTACTTCAGCACTGTTTGTATGTGGAGCTTTGTAAAAATAAGTGAAGCAAAAATTGCGAGAACTGTTCGAGTAACTTTAACTCTTGCACTTTCTTTTGACTTGTGTTATGACCTAGAACCATGGATGCATTTTCTGTGCCTGTAGTTCCTGTAGAAGGAATTGAAGTCTTTCTGGCTTGAGCAGTGCACAGAAACATTTCCTTGACATTAACTTGGGTGTTCTGATAAGCTTAAGTTTTGTTTTGGGTTTGTTTGGATCTGTTCACGTTTTCGATTTACTTTTATTGTTTATTTAGAAGCAAATGCATCTAACTCCTCAGTTGTAGATAGTAACAAAATAATTGACTTGTTAGGCAATAACCTGAAATCACAGGTCACTTTGGTCTCCTCCTTTTGGCTAAACACTGAAATGAAGCAAAAGATTGGTCCTCTGACCATGTACTAGTTGAGAGATTTATTTATGCATCTTAATGAGGATTGCAATTAGCTTGATGGACTCGATTGCAGGTGCTGAGTCAGTGCCTCGTACAGTCACAAGAAGCAAAGAGGATGATGAATAACATTAAAAATCTCACAGAGAGATCACTGATCTTTACCTTTGGTTGTCAAAGTTCACTGCAACTGGGTGAAGTATTTCTGCTGTTCTTGGTGGGCTCTGGGCCAAGTCCTGCTCTGTTTCTGCACCTTGCCCTGTTCATACCTGCTAGGTGCTCTCAGGGGACTTGAGTCAAGCTGCTCATTTTTTGTGTCACTTCTGCTTTGGTATCATCTTGCCCATGTCACGTTCAGTTCTGCCACTTTTGCCCCCAGTGGTCCATGTACCTCAGGATGGAGGAGTTGTATCTCTGCTGAGTCTGCAGTCACAGTGAGTGAGAGTGGCAGAATTGATGGGCTAGGCTGGATGTGCTCGTAGTGTGCAATTGTGACTGCTGAACAGGGAAAAGGGGAAAAAATTGGCATACCAAAGCCTGATCCTAATCCAGAAAATCTGAATCTGGAGTCCTTATGTTCAGTGTAAGATAACTGACCCTTTAATAAACTCCATCTGAAGAGTGAGTGCAATGAAAGTACAATGAGCACTGTTCTGCCTTTCCTTGTGGCACAAGCACTGACAGCACCTGATTTCTGCCAGTTCCTCATGTGACAGCTCTCACTGCACCTGAACTAGTCTACAGGCCTGACATTTGCCCTCAGCAAACTGCCAGCAGGCTGCACACTCATGGCAGGGCACAAGGGGAGGAAGGCATGGCATTGTCTAAAAACAGCTTTAGGGAGGATGAAGTTGAGGTTCAAACTGTGACAACAATTTGACTCAGTGACTGGCTTTTTTTTTTTCCCCATGAGTTTTTTTCTATTCTGGGTTTTTTCTAATGTTTAGGAGGGTGAGACACTCAAGGTGGAGGGAGGGGAGAATGTGTTTCTCACTCATTCTCTGTTGGTGGTTCTGTTCTGAAAATGGAACTGAAAAATTACCTCTTTTTGAGCCCAGTCTTAGATGTCATGAGTGGCACAAGACACCACTGCTGTGCTCCTCTGTTGATGAGCACTGAGGCAAACCAAGCTGCTCTTGGTGTTGGCTCCTCTCTCAGCTCTGCAGACTTAGCTGCAGACTCTGCCCACACTGAGCTGTGGAACCTCAGCAGTGAGGGCAGAGACTGCATAATGATCACTGCCTGTGAGCCAAGAAAAGTACCCAAAGTTGGCTCTGCTGGAACAGCTCATCAACCCTGTCCTTGGCTTGTCAGCTCAGCCAGTCACTGTGGCAGAGTGGAGACAACATGATACGCCACTCTCAGAGTCTCTTTTCAAAACAGAATTACTGGCTACACATAGATGTTGGGAAAGTCTTTAATTGTGGAGGGTTTTTTAAATATTAATCTCTTTAAAAGTTGATTTCCTTTTCATTACCTGGAAAGGTTTAAAATTTAAGCTAATATCTCTTGCCTTTCTGAGAACTGAACAGTGTCTCCTTGTCCTGACTAGGATTTACTGTGTAAAAGATAGGGGGTTTTTTCTGTATTTAGTCTTTAAAGAGCTTTTAAAATTGAAGTTTGCTTAGGAATGTTCTGTGCTTTAAGTTTCTCTGTTCTTTACTCAGCAAAACCAGCTCCACTAGAAATAAAACCTCTGCCTGAATGGGAAGAACTACAAGCCCCAGTCAGATCTCCCATCACCAGAAGCTTTGCACGAGAGTAAGTTTCTTGGCTTTTCCTCATTGGGATTGAATGGTTTTGTTGACTAGAGCATTAGTAAATGTGTGCACATCTGTGTTCTGTGTTTAGCTTGTGCAATACCAAGTGAGTTTCCTTTGGAAGTGTGTGTCTATGTGTGTGTGTCTCTGTGTGCTGAGGCAAAGCGTGTCCACGTGGATGTGTGTGTTGTAATATTAAGTACAAGGGACTCTGTATAACCCAAAAATGTGACACTCTCGTAAACTTGAATGAGAATTTCAGCTCTAATATGCTTATTGTTGTTGTTTACCAGGAGGTTTAAGATATTTGAGATGTATTGTTTGTGAAATAATTCCTGGTAATTAGCTCCTCCAGGTGTACCATGTCTCCCAGACCGGATTCAGTTCATAGCACAACTTCCAGCAGTGACTCGCATGACAGTGAAGAGAATTATGTACCCATGAATCCAAATCAGTCCTCTGAAGACTCAGTATGTAACATCTACGTCTTAACTCCTCTCTTCCTGTGCAGTCCTTACCTTTAAATCATGCAAACACAAACCCTTCACTGAGCATCACTCCCTTTATGCTTCTACATCAAAACCAGAATGAAAAAAAATAAACCTGTCATTTTGGTAAGATTTCACCAAAGAAGTTAAGAGCATAATCATAGATAAAGAGAATGGTTGAGATGTATGTATCCATTATGCAAAACAGTTCAAGGTGGCTTTTTTCATACCTTTTCTGTAGAAACTGTCTCCTCTTTGTACTTGCTTTTCACTGGGCCGTGTACCAGTTCAGTACTGTGACATCCAGGGAAATAAACTTACGACCTCTGAGACATGGCTAAAAAAACTGCTTTGAAAGGACATCTTCCAAGAAGTGTGGAAGGAACGGGGGGAAAAAGAGGATTGATATTTGTTGTTTAATTTCTATGTACACTGAGCCATGTGCACTTTTATTAGTCTTTGAGAGAAGAGGATAGGAGGAGCCTTTGTGTGTTGAGCATCTGTATTTTCTCCCCTTTGAGGGAGGATTTTCTCAGTTAACAAAGTTGCAGATACTCAGCATGCAGTGCGGTAAGTGAAGAGCCAGACCGGAGAAGCTAATGATGCATGCTGAGGTTTTCTCTTTGTTGGGGGGGAAGGAGAGAGAGAAAAAGAAGACCCTAGAGAATAGCAGTAGACCTAGGGCTGAACTCAAAATGTGGTCTAGAATGCCCCTAAAACACTGGAGGAAAAGTTGTATCTTAAGCTCAGCTTTATTTCAGTGTAGAATCCTAGAATTGTTTGGATTGGTAAGAGACCTGAGAGATCACCTAGTTCCAACCTCCCCTGCCATGGGCAGGGACACCTTGCAGCAGATAGAGTTGCCCAAAGCCCCATCCAACCTGCTGAATTCAGTGCACTCACCACGTTTTTTTGCCTTGGGTTTTCAGTAAGGAACACAGCAGCATTTTATCCAAAACCTTGCCTGGGGAGGACCTGTCTGTGCCTTTTTTGTTCTGTTTGTTCTTCTGCCTTCTTAGACAGCCTGTGCAAACCCATTCCACTCCACCCGGGGCTCTGCTCCTCTTGCAGTGCTGTTTGTTTCCCTGTCCCCTGCTGCTCTGAGACCTTCCCAGTCCCTCCAGTCTCCCTTCCCTCCAGCTCACCACTGCTGCCTCTGGATGCTGCAGCTCAGGTGTCCTGAGTGAGCTCTGTCTGCTGTTCAGCAGCTCTGGCTGGACACAGCTCAGGGCCTGCAGAGCATCCTGACCTGCCAGCACTGCAGCTGTGCTTCCCAGCTGGGATGCACCCAACAGTGAGGAGCTGCTGAGGTTAGAACTTAGTCCTCCCTAGCAAGGGCCAATGGTAAGTAGTTGGTAACGTCCCATTTTGCAGGTGCCACATCTCATTTCACACAGAGGATTAGGCTCAGCCCTGCCCATGGTTCTGCCTGCACAGAGCCACAGTTCAAACTGGGGATTTCTCTGGATTCTTCATGCTGTTTCAGGGGTTTAACTTCAATGCCAGGATGGAATAATGTGCCTGTCAGTAATCCCTTCTGTTTGCTTGCACCATTCCTTCCTCAAGGTTGTTCTACAGATTTCCTCTCATTTTCCTTTGCCTGTATTTAAAGTTTCTGTTTTCTAATGCATATCTTCTGCCTGCCTAGTTTGTTTGAAGTAACAGATTCTTTTTCACTTGTGAGGAGTAACAGCTTTTGTAATGGATGCTGGAAACATTGATACAGAACCTGAGTTTTGTATGTTCGATATGTTCAGAGAATTTGGGCAGTGAAAATGAACTTCCTGTCAGTTGTTTGTGTTTGTCCTTGTTACCACGTGGCATTAAATGAGCTGGACACTGCAGATGTCCTGGATAACTGCAGTTTATAGAGCCCAGCCCACTGAGCTTTAACCCATAAAGTGTTTTGTTTCCTAGAGAACCGGAGTGTTCCCACATCTCACAGCCTTTGTCTGAAAATCTGCCAATTCAGTAGCCTTTCTGAGAAGTTTTATTCGTTCCAATTCTGTCTCAGCAAGGAATCCATAGTTCATCTTTGTCATCGGCTTCGAAGCATCTTGTTTGGACATGCCATTCTCCTATTTGATTTAATGAAGCCAGCAATGTTCTGCTTTTCCTTTCGAGTTGCTCTCAGCCTTACCCTCCTGTCTTTCCTTCTGCCTTCCTCTTCATTTTTTGCTGACTGCTGCCCTCTGTCTTCCTGTTTTTTCTTTATCTTTTAGAGAAGAGTCCTTCTATTGTACTGTTCCTATAACACCTGTTAAGAGGGAGGGATCAGGCTGGGAGAGGACAGAGGAGGTGAGGTTGTAAAAGTCTGGGCTAACTGACACTTAGGTGTATCCAGTGCCAATTCAGTTCAGGCAGCACTACACACATTTTCCAATCTTTTCATCTTGTGAATGATACTCACTGATTTTCAGCCTAATTGTGATGACTTGTGAATGACATATAAAAGTTTCACTTGAAGCTTTGCCACTGTCGTAAAGCTGAAGTTGCTGTAGGTATTTGACAGCACTTTAAAGCAATAAAAAGGATTGGAATTAAGCAATGCTAAATTTGAGATATAATTACCTTTAAAAAGAACAAAACACACTCCATTCTTATCTCATGCTATGAAAAGGACGTTAGGTGGAAGGCACTGATGGGTTTGGTGGCAACCTGAAGTTTGGGGGGTTGGTTTGGGGGTTTTCCCTCCCCTTGGCTGTCAACTGTGACACAGAATAGTTCCCCTCATTACACAGGGTCAGTGAAATTTGCATGATTTAACTGATTGCAAGAGCTCTCAGTCATTCCCTTAACCTTTAACGTTGTGCGGTGTACAACTAGCATATCTGAGAGCTGAAGTTACTTGTACTGTGATTTCAGAATTTGTTTGGAAGCAGCAGTGTGGATGGAGGGAGCAGCCCTGTGGTGAAACCTAAAGGAGACAAACAAGTGGAGTATCTAGACCTGGACCTGGACTCTGGGAAATCTACCCCACCTCGTAAGGTGAGCGCATCTGCAGCTCTGGAGCTTAGAATCTGCTCCACTTGAGGCTGCTGGGAACGATCCCCAGCGAGACCATCTTGACTAGTTTCTCAAATGCTCGGTCAAGAGTCAGTGTTGGGCCTTGTAGAGAAACCTGTGCTTGGGACAGCTGCTTAGTTTTGGTGGTTAGCTTACACTAACAGGCTTTTCACTCTTCCTGGCTCCCCCAGAAGAAGAGCAGTGGCTCGGGCAGCAGCGTGGCAGACGAGAGAGTGGATTATGTGGTGGTGGACCAGCAGAAGACACTAGCACTGAAGAGCACCCGTGAGGCCTGGACTGACGGGAGGCAGTCGACAGAGTCCGAGACACCCACCAAGAGTGTGAAGTGACAGCACTGCCTTTACCTCCGAGAACAGAAAGCAGTGGGTTTTGCAGCGTCACAGAGCCACAGTGTTGTTCAGCTGTGCCTGCCCCACTGGGGTGTGAGCAGGTTCTTGGCCAAACAGGATGGAAGCCAAAGGACACTTTGAATACAGCAAAGGAACTTTTAAGATCATAACTTGGCTCTGCGGTCTCTAGGAAAAAAAATTGCAACCTGTAAATAACATGTAAAATAATATCACTTAGCCTTCTGAAAACCTTTTTTTTTTCTGTAGTTAACACATTTGTAGTATTACTATGTTTATGCACTTTCTCAGTTCCAATGTTGGTTCAGGTATTCCCAGTTAGTGTGTACCTTAACACCTAATTCACCTGGAGGATTCTTCTCACCTTACGCTACTATTCCTTACAGTTTTAGGTTAATTAAGCTATGTGTAGATACAGAGATGAATATCTGAACTTCGTTTTAACAACTCCAGACTGATTTTTGCAGAAACACTTTGACGACTGAATAATCTACTTGAAATGCCACGAGACGACGTTGGTTCCACTGACTACACGCAGGAGTGTGGTCAGTCTGCAGGTTACCCTCCCAGCAAGGATTTCTGGGAGCTGATCACCACAAGCTGCACTGGGCTCTGCCCCACAGTCCTGGCCTCGACGTTAGAGCCCAGCGGTGTATTCTATTGAGGACAGTGCTCTGTGTTCCGTGGGGGAAGATTCTGCAGGGTGGGATCTTCCACTGTTAAAGACTGGGTAACTGAGTGCCAAGTGAGCCTGCACACCACTGATGGCATGCAGAACTGTTGTGATCTCACACTTATTAACAGAAATAACCTGTAGCTTACTTACAGAAGGTAGAGTCTATAAATCAGGTACGTACCGAGCACCGTCGTGCTAATACACTGATCAGGTTTAGACCATGAGCTTTAGTTTTGTACTATGTAGGAGTTCTAATGTGTTTGCAGTTCAAGATTAACGGGACAGTTTGACATTCACTGTTTGTAGTACTAGCAACATACTGTGATTTTTGGATGAGACATAATTCAAGCGGAAAGACTTATGTTCTGACACCGTCGTGCCCTTCTCACCATCTCTATTTACTTTAACCTCCTGCTTGGCCTTATATTTAAATCCCTATGCAACTGATATTTTGTATCTGTTTTTAAAGAGTAGATAATATACCTAAATGATACCCTTGTAAACCACTTGTTGCTCTTTCCTGGTACAGGATTTTAAGCTCTGTATACTGTGATCCTTGATTTTACTATGCCAGTTCCGAATAATAACCTGCCTTGGTTTAGAAACATTGTTGGTTACTTGGAAGAAGATAGAGTTGTTTGAATACATGAATGAGTTAGGTCTAGGTAGAAAACTTACTAACACTCTTATTTTACACAAACACCATCAGTTAAGTGGTTGGTTTCATTTTCTTGCCCAATTGTTGTCTTTTGCCCAGATCAGTTAAGAGTTGAGCATAGAGCTGCAATGTTTTCTGGCACTTTGGCCTTAGTCCTGTGCCTCTACCATTGGTTCTTTCTCTCTCCTCACAGCCACAGTCTCCAGTATGTAAATTATCTTATTCTTAACAAAGATTCTTTTTAAATTAGTACTATTTTGATGCTTTGAATGTTCATTTTAAAAGAAGAAGAAAAAAGAAACTAAACACAATGCATTTTGAGGTGAATCTGAAATAAATCAAGTTGTTCAGTTTGGATGTGTAAACTCTGTCCTGTGGAACAGCAAGTGGCAATGTGTCTGGGATGGTGCCTGGGAACCAACCGCACAGTTCAACATGTGGTAACCTCTTAGTGCCTCTCAAAAAACAAAGGTCGAGCTAAGGCAATTGTCAGAATGGATTTCTGGTTTCAGCCCCCGCACCATGAAGCTAAATAATCATAGAAACATAGAGTTTTAGGGGTTGGAATGGAGCTTAGAGCTCACCCAGCCCCAACCCCTGCCCTGGGCAGGGACACCTCCCACCAGAGCAGGTTGCTCAAGGCTCAGCCAACCTGGCTGTGAACACTGCCAGGCTTGGGGCAGCCACAGCCTCCCTGGGCAACCTGGGACAGTGTCTCACCACCCTCACAGGGAAACCTTCTGCCTAACATCTGACCTAAATTTGCCCTCCTTCAATTTGAACCCATTACCCCTTGTCCTGTCCCTGCAGCTCCTAACAAATCTGGTCCCCCACAGTGGTAACCATTTCAGAGCCCTGACTGCAGTGCTTTACACTTGGGCTTGTGTCTTGCTCATAGTAGTCCTGATGCTCCTCAGAGCTTAAAAGCAGGGTGCCATACTCCTGAGGAACATCCACTGGCAGCCTGTGGAAGCACATCCTTGTTTCCCATCAGAGCTACTTCATAGGTTCATCACCCATGCAGGTTAACATTTCAGCCAGTTTTATTCCTCCCTCCCTGGGAAATTTCATCACTCCGTTCAATTGCAGAAGTCAACCACTATATTCAAGAGGTGAATGACCCTACTGCCACGAGAAGGTTTGGCATTTAGTAGCTGAGAAGATGTTTTTGACAAAAGTAGTTGTTATTCTGAAATACAACATTCACTTGCAGGAATTAGGAAACTGAACATGAGCCAGCAGTGTGCTCAGGGGGCCAAGAAGGCCAATGGCATCCTGGCCTGGAGCAGTGTTGTGGTCAGCAGGACCACCAAGGAGGTGATTCTGCCCCTGGACTATGGTGAGGCCACACCTTGAATCCTGTGCTCAGCTCTGGGCCCCTCAGCTCGAGTCCACCCCTACCGTGGTTACTAGACCATGGCACTAAATGCCACATCCAGTCTCATCTTAAAAACCTCAGGGGGTGTTCAGCCTGGAGAAGAGGAGGCTCAGGGGAGACCTTCTCACCCTCTGCAACTCCCTGACAGGAGGTTGGAGTCAGGTGGGGGTTGGTCTCTTCTCCCAGGCAACCAGCAGCAGGACAAGAGGGCACAGACTCAAGCTCTGCCAGGGGAGGGTTAGGTTGGAGATTAGGAAGAGATTTTTTACTGAGAGAGTGCTCAGGCATTGGAATGTGCTGCCCAGGGAGGTGGAGAATTCACCATCCCTGGAGGTTTTCAAGCTGAGACTGGATGTGGCACTTGGTGCCATGGTCTAGTGACCATGGTAGGGTTGGACTTGATGATCTTGGAGGTCTTTTCCAACCTGGTTGATTCTGTGATTCTATTCTGAATTCCCCATTGGGGAAAAAATAATCCATGACACAGAATGTGCTAAAGCCCCACCAAAATAGCATGTAAACTGTTCCTTAAAATGCTGACATGCACACAAATGATGGCAAACAGTTTAGTAAGTTAACCAGTTTCCACCTGGAGCAATGGAAGCATTTGGAGACAGATTTACAGTGCACTGGAAATCTGATTATGTGAACTCTCATAAATGGATTCAGTGTGTTAGAATCCTAGAACTGTAGGTGGTGGAAAGCAAACCAGATTGATACCAGCCTTGTGCAGCTTTGTGAGGACACTGGTTGGAGGTGGAGGTACGGCTGCAGAAGTAGTTTGTGAGTGTTGTTTGTCCAGTGTTCTTTTCTCAAACAGGTAAGTCCTTTCTTCACTAAAACCATGTTATCCACAGCTGTGGGTTTGGTTTGCACTCCTGTGTGTGTCACTGTAAACTGCAGATGTCTTATAAATGCACGTCTTGCTCATACAAATCAAAGCCTTCATGCCTTGTGAACCGAGATTGACTCTCAAGGTAGTTCACAGCTGTAGAATCATAGAGTATCATAGAATCAACAGGGCTGGAAAAGACCTCCAAGATGATCAAGTCCAACCCTACCGTGGTCACTAGACCATGGCACTAAGTGCCACATCCAGT